CAGACTAAAATACTATCCAAATTCAATGCAGAACATATCAAATGCATATCCAGCAGATTGGTTCAGCATTCTCTAGCTTCCATGTGAGAAATTAGCAGAAGACCCACCAGCATTCTCCTGTTAACACTATGACATCAAATACATGACCTTGTTTAGGCTTGTGACATCACTAATTGGGCCTTAGATGACTTGGAAGCTTGCAGCATGAGTCACAGTTTCAACCAGAATTGATTTGGGGGATGATGGTAGGGTTTGGTTGGTGCGATGCAGACCTCAGTTGTCTACATGACAAAAAGCTTAATGGTAGCAGTTTCATTTGTACTATTGGTCATATGGTATAAGTTATATCGTCTGGTCCAACTAAACATATTATTAGTCAGAACTATGTTTCATTGCTTTACCAATATTTTCACCCATTTATGGACTCCCAACAAAATGGGTAATTTCAGCATTGTGTAATTGCACCCAAAGAACTTTCTGGAGACTTCCAATAAACTGCGGGAACATGTCAAATTAAACATGGTGTAAAGTCCTATTCACATGATGCTGTATCAGACAGCTGTGGACAGCTATTGAAATGCCATAGATGCAGGTCTTCTTCCCACCTGTGGAATTAATATCACATTGAGTTGTTGCATTTGATTGTGCTAGAAGTGGTCAGACATGATACTATACACATATCCCATGTGTATGGATCAGCTATGATAAATTTAGTATAGAAGTGGAAATTGAACATAGAATAGGCTACTCTAAAGGTAGTTTCAGCCAACACTGCAAATTACTAGCAAACTAAAACATTTACCTAAAAACTCATGTTTTTAAATAACCTCCACTGAGACATACATACTGATGTCATTCATGGTATCAAACCTCAGATCAATGATTAAAAATGGCTTTGAATGAATGAAGCATATAAGTCTTAGGATCATCCTTCATTGAATGTTGTGGACTAGTGGTACATAATCATAAAGAACAGTACCAAATAAAAGAAACCACATCACTAGAGTACTTTCAACAACAACAACTAAAATGGATATCACATGTAACTGGAAAAGAAAACAATGATACTGAATTCTGAGTCATGGATGAGAAGCACTGCATTTATTTTGCATATGCTTTAGAAACGATTTTGTAATAAGTGATAATTAACTGCTGATTTTTAAATAATAGCAAAAATAGCTTTAAAATATTTTACTATATATATATATATATATATATATATATAATACAATGAATGCATTACAAAGATGCATTAACCCACTAATCACACGATGAATGTTATGATCCTTGTTTTTTAAAATTATAAACTGTATTAGGTCTTCCTTATATATGCAAGAACTTTCAATGGTTCCTCCAGTCATCATCAGGAATGGAAACTATTTTGGTTTTGGTAAAATTCAGGTAGCATCCAAGACGAATATATACAATTTACTTATATTTATATATATATAAGTAAATGCTATCTTTTCAAAAGACAAACGATCATGGCTCTTTATAAATTACCATCAATTGCCATACCTTCCTGGCAAAGACAATTGAGTGGTTTTACTATAGTTTTGAATTCAGTATAATTCTTTTCCTTGGCTGGTGACCATCCAAAGCTAGAGGGTCCAGTCTTACCCTGCTATTTAAACCTTAGCTGGTAAGTAAATATATATTTGATTTATTCACAAGAGAGCTTAATCAGATCCAGAAATTCTTTTTGCAGTTGACATCATGTAATTATGTAAAGATTTATCACTTGATATTTAGAGAAGAGGTGAGTACAACCAATTTTGCTTGCTTTCTGGAAGCTCCATATATATGGTACTTGAACCAAACAACAAGAACTGAGGTATTTTGTGTATATTTTAGAAAAGACATTACTTTCTGACTTTGAAAAGATGGCAAGCATAACTTGATGTATATTTGGTTTGACGGGTTCATTTTATCAGTAGATCTAGTTTTCTCCAAATTTCTGCTTAAATGGCTCAGTGTAAAGAACAAACTTTTTTTGATACTGAGTTTAGAAGTAACCTTTTAGCTGGAAGGAAAATCCTCTTCAGAATTTAACTTTATTTTTTTCTAATTCTTGTGTAAAACAACCTTTTGCTTTTTCCCCTTCATTTATCCAATCCAAATTTGATTAACTCATTTGTTATTGTTGTTCTTGTGTGACTAAATAATGGTTTTGACACAAGGCAAAAAGAGAATGAAAAAAATTTGAGCTTCTGATTAAATATAAGTCCAGCGTTAATGTAATTGTCATGTAATGTTAATCGAATACAAGCCATTTTCGAAAGTTCATTGATCAGTTCTGTATTATGGTATTTGCTATGAAAGCATCTGTGTGTCATCTTGCTTCCTATCTTGACTTCCTCCTACCCTTGGGTTAAAGTAGATTGTCTCATAATTACTAAAGTACTTCTGTTCCACACTTGGAATCGACAAAACGCATCACTTGACAATGTGTGTGGGTCCCTTACCAACTAAACAGTGTAGTATCTAAAGATTTTCAGCAAGTTGAACGATTTAGAAAGACTAACAACCAATGTATTTTTTTATAAAGTTATTGATTTAAGGTTTGACTTGGAGATGGTAGGCAATATGACAGATTCAATGTCTCTTAAATGAGCATCCTCGTCTTTGTTGTTTTTATCATAATGTTTCTAAAGTGAAAACATCATAATATTTCTCCAATGAAAACATTACTTTATCCAAAGAAATTTAGAGAGAGAGAACATATAAAAAAATAGCAGAAAATACGAAAATCAAAATTAAAAAAAACCCGCATCTATGATCACAAAAGAGACCTCACAAAAAACAACTAATGCACTAGTCATACATAGAAATAAATTCAACCACAATTTTGATTTTAAAAATGCTACACACATAAAAAAAGAAAATTACTCACTCAGAAGGAAAATCCTCAAGAGTGCTGCCATTGAATATTATCCAAATATTAATCTATGCCCAGGCTTTTTCCCTATTTCACCTTTCCTAACAGAATTACTACTCTCCAAAGCAAACATACACAACTGTATCACGAAATCAAAAGAAAATGGTTGAATCCATCAGCCCAACAATAAAAACAATATTTCCACACATGACAGTACTTGACATAATTTTCAGTTAACAATATGAATATAATCGTGTTTTCTAAATTCTTCTATTTGCTAAGGACATTTTGTTTTGTTATTGTTAGTTGATTTGTTTTAATGAATTAATTTCACTTTTGCCTTGTTTCATCCATTTCATTGGATGAAACATGTCGGCTAATATTACACTTTTCCTATTGTATTTTACATTTATAAATGAAAGTTAATGATAAAAGCTTGGCTGTAATTTGAACTGATACCCATTACACTATGCACACACACACATATTAGTGGTGACTTTGGGGGCTGTGGCTGTTGGGCTCAGTCTGAGTGAGTCAACATTGAAGTATATCTATTTCAAAGCAACAAAAATCTTTTGTAGTGCGTCATTTTCGTTCTTGATTTCAGCTAGATCCAAAATTACTGTTTTAACTCTGTGCCTCAAAATATTGAGAGAAATTGAACCTGTATTCCCTTTTTAATAGAAGAATCTGCCTTAAAGCTAATGTTACTTAGCTACAAGAAGACATTATAACAAAACAAAACTCAATTACCCTTGTAATAAAATCAGTAATAGATTTTAAAGGAACTCTTAAGCACTTAAAAGTCTAATGCTCATAACAATATAAATAAAAAAAAAATAGAGAATGTTTTTAATAAATAAGAATTCCAATTAAGTAAACACATATAGCTTTCATGAAATATGGAGATATATACATGTATCAAAAAATTTATAAAAATTACAAAATTATCAAAATATTTAAGCAGAAGAGATGCTCTCAACCTATTGTATACGACAGGAGCAAATGAAAGACATTCCCAGAAAATGCATTTTTTTTTTTCAGAATTTATAATTACAGTTATTCATTATGTGTTTATTTAATTTTTTTTCTTTACAGACATTTTTATAGATTTATGAGTAAAACAATTTCTTTTCATATTTATTTCTCTATAAAATGGTAAATAATATATATTTTATTTTAGTTGGTTCACATATTTTTATAATCTTGTAAATATAAAATTATTCTTGTAAATAAGCAATAAGTAAATAGTGTTAAATATCTTTCTACAGATATATTTCTGAGACGAGGTATTGTAACTATTTACATCATTTGGACTGTTGTCCTCGTCTTTGTAGTCATATTTACTATGTTTCGGCCATTGTACACTCCTGGCCTTCTTCAAATGGTATATTCTGGAATTTCAAACCGAACACTTTATTTAGCCCACAGGAGTAGATTCTTCTAGTTCCACATTCCATGCCTTTTCCAGATATCTCAGTTAATTCCCTTTAGTAACTAACTTCTCCAAGTTTTTGTCCAAATCTACTGTGGGTAGGTATTGAACTCACAACTATTTGGGTTAAGTCAGTTTTGGGTTACTTCAACCAATGCTTTTATCAACTGGGCAATGTGTCCTTGTTTTTAATAACAAATCCTAAACCAATACATATATGCTATTTACCCATACATTCTTTGACAAGATAAATTTAGAGTGTCTTTCTGATTGGACAAATTCCAACTGTGACTTGGAAATTGCTGTTTTTTTTATATGAGAAAATATGATATTTACTTTGAATTTTAATCATAATGACATATCTCAAGAGAAATTGGTTTCAAGTGGCGCTCTTGAAAAAGATCCTGCTGTTAGACAAAAAGCAAAACCAAGTGAATTTTTAATAGGTTAGCCTTAAATTTTCAGATGCTAGAGAGAAACACGTGGTAGCAGTGAATTAGGTAATCTCATTTTTATCCAGTAAGTATAAATACAGCCTGGTGAAATGAAGAATTTGAATTCTAATCATTAAAGAACATATTGATCTTTAAATAAATGTTTTTTTTTGTTTTTTTTTAATAGCCAAAAATTCTCTACTTTGATATGCACAAATCGTTTTGGAGATGAAAAAAAAATGTTGATACTTACTGTTCGACATGTATCCATAAATTCTTCCAATGATATCACACCATCTTTATTTAAATCCATTTTCTACAAGAGAAGAAGAGAAACAGAATCTTAAATGTTCTGATTTTAAGTTTATTTTCTATTAGAGAAGAAGATTCTTAAACAATTTAAGGAAGTAAGTGCCAATCAATGGAGCCAATACCTATTAGTTATTTTTTTTAATAGTAACTTGTGAAAAACATTCTTCACTAATTACTATCAAGATTTTTTTTTTGTTCATTTTTGACATAAGAAAATCAGTAAAGGAAAAAAAACTCCGAGACATATTCTTTTAATTTGTTGAAGGCTAACAGCCATATTATGTTGAAACATTGGTTCCCATATGATCATCAAATTTAAGCAATGCCAAGCCTGGTCAGTACTTAGATCAGTAACCATTTGGGAATACAGCAGGCTTAGGGTGCTGTAAGCTTTTATGTGCATGTAATTTAATGGATAATGGGTTAGAATTGTTAATCGTAGAGCTGAGGTCAAATTCCTCTTAGGTTTGTTATATTCACTTATGTGCAAATAACCTTGGGAAAGGTACGAATCCACCTCTTCTCCCCCAAGCTATGGGTTAATTAGTAGAACTCATATCAGTAAATTATTACTATTATTTTAAAAAAGTATTCTTACAATCTAAAGATATTTTCTGGTTTCAAATAACCTAATAAAGGGCTGATAAACCGTAGAAAATGAATCAATCAATAAATTTGTTCCAGATGTGAAAAGAGAGAAAAACTTGAAAAGTATGTTTAACACTAAAACTCTGGGTATTTAGAAAAAATAGATCTTATTAAGGGTGAATAGATGTAACAGCTTTCAGCTGTTACTACCTGAAAAGGAAAGATAATTATGAGAGAGTGGCTTGCCAAAATGTTCATTTATCTATCAGGTCATCCCATAAGTTCTGTCCGAATTTTGAATAAAGAAAACAAGTGACCAAATGTTACATTTAATTACAGATTCAATCAACAATGTATTTTCCCTGATTATCTATGACTTCCTTCCATCTATTAACAAGCTTACTAATTCCATTACTGTAAAATTCTTTTGGCTTTGATTCGAAGAACTCACAAATGTCAGTTTTAACCTCTTCTTGTGTTACAAAAGCTGTTTTTTCCAAATGATTCTGTAAGCTATGAAACAAATGGTAGTCTGAAGGAACAAGATCGGGAGAATAAGGTGGATGAGGAATTTTCTCCCAACCAAGTTCTTCAATCTTTTGTGATGTGATTCTTGCTGTGTGGAGTCACGCATTGTCCTGATGAAACATTACCTCTTTTCAATTCACTAGAGCAGATCTTTTTTCCTCAAAGCTTGGTTCAAATGCTCTAATTGCTGACAGTATATTTGAGCATTAATTGTTGCATTAGGTGGTAAGAATTCAAAGTAGATTATTTCTTGGCGATCCCACCAGATTGAAAGAAGGATTTTGCCCAAAAGAGTTCTCTTCTCGGCTGTGGCTGAGGTCCTTCCCCTTTACCAAGCCACTGTCTACGATGCTTAACATTTTGATAAAAGATCCATTTTTCGTTGCCAGTCACAAGTCTATCCAAAAAAGGTGAAACAAGTTGGCGAGAATGGGGAGAAGAGCAGATGTCAACTCGGGATTTGAGGTTGTTTTCAGACAATTCATGAGCCACCCATTTTCAAGTTTAGGAACTTTTCCAAGTCATTGAAGATGACAATGAACAGTTGTACAGTTTGAACTGAGAATCACTGCCAATTCCTCAACTGATAAAACAGGATTTTCTTCAAGGCCTGCTTCAAGAAGCTTTTGATCAAACTCAACTGTACGTCCGGTTCGATCTTCATCTTCAAGGGTGAAATCTCTACCTCTGAATTTTGCAAACCATCTTCTGCAAGTTCTTTCATTCACACATTCCTCTCCATAAACTATGAGTGAATGTTTCTATCTGCTTTGGCTGCTGAGTTCCTTCCTTGAACTCATAAAGCATTATGTGCCTCAAATGATTCTTGGGTACTTCCATGTTAGCAGGATTTTAATCAAACAAAATTTAATTTTATTGTTCTCTGAAATAAACTTTGATCAGTTTTAATGCATCTAAACATAAAAATAATGTTCAGCTCCATTAGACATTATAAAATACTCTTTAAATTTCATTCATTTTAACAAAAAGTTAAAATTCGGACAGAACTTTTGGGATGACCTGATGTACTTTAAATTTGATGTATTCAAAAAGGAAAACTTGAATATTTTAATAAGGATTGAGAGAAACTTCTTAATTCTCTCAGAAACTAAGCAAAGTATTAAAAGATAGGACAATTTTCTTTCAAATAAAAAAAAAAGTTCTTGTCTGTCATGTATTTATTTAACACATGAATACATGTATTTGTGGAACAAGGTCAAAAAGGGAAGTGGGGAAAGTCTGGTCAACCCTGTCTATCCTATACCTAGCTGATCTGACTAACAACCCATCCACTCTAACATTTAGTGTTATCACCACAAAAACTCATTCTTCTTCATCCAATCACAACATATAGTATAATACTACATTTTCATGGGGGGCAATAAAACCCCAATGCTGTTAAAATGGAATTCTGGACTGTTATGTAATGTCTAGTCTCTTATATGGCAATGAATGCTGGACAATTTCCTTACAGTTGATTAGGAGAAACTTGAAGCAACAGAGATGTTGTTCTGTAGACAAATAGTTAGAATACTATTAAGGATAATAGAAAGTAAAATGAAACTGCTGCTAACAATAAAAAAACGATATATAATGAGAAAAGAGGGCTTAGAGAATTTAAAACTCATAGACAAGAGAAGTTGAGAACCATCAAGGGATCTACTTGAGTTTGTTTGAATGGATGGTAGAACAAGGATGAAAAGTAATGCTAAAGGGTAAAAAATTACTACGATTTATAATTATTAATTAAAGAGACCAATACCCATCATCATTACCAGCTAATATTCACATCTTTGTGGTGCTCAAATACATGTCCTGTTTCCAAATAGCTTACAGCCACATGACATTGAAAAAAATTTCCATATGATTATGAAATTAAAGCAATGTTGAGTCTGGTTAATACCTAGATGGGTGACTGTTTGGGAACACCAGGTGCTGTATCTTTGGATATGCAGGTGGTGTATTGCATAATGGCTTGGAATTGTTAATCAGAGAGCCAAGTTCCAATTTCAGTTGGGTTCATTATACTCATTAATGGGCAAACACCCTTGGAAAAGGTGTGCATCCAAGTTTACCCCTTCCAGATTTGTATCACTAAACTATTATTATCTCAGCTTTCAATCCTACATGATGGAAGCTCCCCTCCAAATCTTCTTCAAAAACTGCTGCCCTTGTCTCTGATTGGATACTTTCTGGAATGGACATTTTTAGAACTCTTCCCCCTCCACAAACAATTCCAGCATAAACCAAACAGTCAACTCTGGTTCACCCATGAATGTGCTGCAGCCATAACTCACTGAGACGATTACTTCAATATCTGTCACAAGGAGCAATGTAGTTCAGCCATCACTGCATTCACATTCAGAACTGCCTGAAATTGCTGCAAAAAGTTCTAGAAAATGCCAAGAGCAGTCCAGCCCAAGTTTGAAAAGAAACAAATTAGATCCTATGAATTTTGGAAGATCACCAATCAAATCATGAACAGAGGTAAAACGGCTGTGCACACAATCTTAAATGTTCCCAAGATGATATCTTCTTTGACTGATAAGGCAAAACTCTTTGTTATTGAATGTTGAGATGGAGGCAAAGACGATCCCCTCCCCAAGTTTCAAGCACAATCTCAGTAATATTACCATCACAGCATGAGAAGTCTCCAAACTTATAAAAGGCCTTGACCCTAAGAAAGACACTGGTCCGGACAGAATTCCAGTGGTTGTTCTTAAGGACATCAACCTGGAATTATCTCCAATCATTGCAAAGTTAATTAACCGATGCTTGAAGGAGAAGTCCTTCCCATGCCTTTGGAAGGTGTCAAGCGTATGCCTGGTTTTCAAGAAGAAGGATGTGCAATCTTCCCCCTCCCAGTACAGGCCCACAATCTCCTCAGTATTATCAGCAAAGCCTTTTGAGGCTATAATCAATAAGAGGATCGTTGAGCACCTAGAAAAGAACAACCCCTTCAGTGATGGGTTTCGGTTGGCCTGATCTACTGTCGACATCCTAACTACCATCACTCACAGAATCAGTTAGGCTCTTGACAACAAGCAAACCTTGAGGACCATAGCACTGGGATATCTAAAAGGCTTTTGACAAGCTGTGGCACAAAGGCTTACTACACAAGTTCTCCAGTGATGGAATCACCAAAAGGGTCTGCTCAATCATAAAATCCTTCCTAATAGCTAGGTCTATGAAGGTAGTTATCAATGGCCAGTCCTCTGGAGCCCTAAAGGTCAATGCAGGCATCCCACAGGGGTTACTCCTCAGACCAACGTCTCTTTTTGATTTTCATAAATGATCTGCTAAAGAATATATTCAGATCATTTGTAAACATCTATGCCAATGGTACAACTATAAACAGGTGTACCTCTGAAACTAATGATGGTCAGAAATTGGTGACTGATTTCTCTTTCAATCTTGCGCAAACTACCCATTTGAACTGGCTGGTTACATTCAATGCCCTGAAGAATAAGCTAGTTACATTCCATCATTGCCGATCTGACACTGAACTACCACCAATCAGGATGAATGGAGGTCTTCTTGGGGAGGTACTGTGCTTTGAAAGACTGTTGGGCCTCAAACGCACACCTGACCTAAAGTGGAACTTGTATATACAATTTGTTGCTAAGGATGCAGATAAAATAGTTGGCTGTCTGTACCACTCCAGTAAGTACCTGACTCCTGCTATCCTCTACCTTTTCAAGAGCCGGATCAGGCCAAAAATGGAGTACGGTTGTTATATTTGGGCAGGTACTGATCTCAAGCCTTGATAAGTGTCTCAGAGCCCTTGTGGGTGACAAATTATTCACCACCCTCCAACCTCTCTCTCACAGCTGCTCTACCACTACTTCCACTAGAGGTGTTCAGATGAGTGACATTCCCTGGTCCTGT